TACTACCTTCAGACGCATTTTTTTCTAAAACACATCTGAGGAGACTTAATAATTTCGATAAGCCCCGCCCACTTCAGTGCCAGTCCCGCCCAGTTGTGGAATCCGACCACATTTGTTCTACTACATCTTACCACTTTCTTTCCGCAACCCAGAACGTCACCGAACAGAGTTGTAAATTCTTGATCTGAGCCCCGCCCACATCAGTGCCAACCACGCCCCCTTCTGGGATTTGACCACATTTGCTCTTTTACACCTTGACACCTTTTTGCCGCATCCCAGTACGTTTCTGAACAGAGTTGTAAATTTTCGATCTAGGCTCCTTCCAGTTTAGTGCCAACCCCGTCCACTACTGGGATTTGACCACATTTGTTCCATTACTTCTGCACACTTTTTTCCCGCACTACAAAACGTTTCCAAGCAAAGTTGCGTTCATTTTTGAAACGTGGCTTTTGTCTAAACGCACGCCCCGCCCATCGTGGGCGGGGCTTCCTAAGCTTATGCATGCCCAACACGCGCGAGGCCCTGCTCACTCATCTTCTTTTTCCTGGCCTCTGCGCCTTAATTGAATCGAGTTATGAATACATTTGAAAGTAGCGCCCATTTTGAGAAAGCTCCGCCCACAGCACGTGGGTCTCCTCCGTCTGGTTTGTTGACCCAATCCTCACCTTTGACATTTTTCCCCGGTGTCTGGACTTTTTCTAAGCAAAAATAAGATGTTTGACTGTTGGCACCGCCCACTCCGGCACATGCCCCGCCCCCGGTGGGCAGAGCTCCCAGAGCTCATATGTGCTCTGTTATTCTTGTCCCAGGCTCCACCAATTCTGAACTTGTCCCGACTTTTGTCCCCCAGCGTTCCCCTTGCACATCGTAGGATGACCTTCACGGTGTTACTCGAGGTCTGCTGAATCGGCCCTTCGACATCTGGCAGTTCAGCTTCCAGTATCTTCGTCTTGAGGTGTTCTCTTCCAACTTGGTGCAGTCTCCATCACCGGATCTTCCGTTCCGTTCTCGTCCTTGATTTCTTGGGAAGATCGATCTCTATATCTGCTAGGAGAAGTTTGTGTTTTGTTGTCAGAAGGAGTCAGGCTTGGAAAACATTGGAGTCATAGAAATTTCTCCTGACAACTTGAAGTAGCATCTAGCTTATAAACGGATCTACGATCTCTATCGCGTGTAAACAACATCTGCGTGGTCTGCTTACTGGTATGCAAGAAGGTTGCGCTATTGTTGGTTATTTACAAAATCATTCGCCAGTGCTTAATAGACGAATATGTCGGCGAGGTAAGTATAAATTTGATGTAGGGATCAAGTAATATTTGAACGGAAAGACCAGGTTGCAGCCATCAAATACCCGATGTTGCTGCAGAGTAAAATTCGATAAAAGGAATGATGCACCGTCGAAGTGTTGCCGGAATCCCAAATATTAAGCTATTATCAACTTTTGTGCAGTAATACCAATAAAATTGCTCGAATAATTACATAGAAAAAAGGACTTATTTGAATGGTATCAAGTAATGAGGCAGCTATAGCAGGCAAAGCTGTAAGATGTTGACGCTACCGGGAGATAGGAACCCGATGATAACAGCATTGATGTTAACTATAGAATGCTGGCGCTTGAAGCAGAGACCCTGTGTGAAACGTCTCACTCATTTCGATTTCTTGATAGCTGTTCATGCACCCAAATCCCTACGGGAAGCGGGATGGGCTTCCCCGCAACTGCAAGAACCTTTACACGCATTTAAAGGCACAGTCCACGATAATTCGAGGGTCGGGGAAGTCACGTCAGACAAGTGCCGAGGCAATACAGGTCGCAGCTATTCGTTCTAGGACCCACACACAATCAGCTGATTGCTGAGTGATAAGGCAAAGTTCTTCTCCCATCCTGTTTTCCTCCGTTATTCGTTTTGCTGCCGCGATTCCTTATTTAATTTTCTATCCCAAGGGGCTGAAATAGGGGGCTTTTTTTGCTGTTACTAGGGCTTTTTGTGAACGTATGCTTACGGGTGAAAATATTTTTGCTTACCGTAGTCTGTTATTCGCACCAGGACACACACGTAAACAGTGAAACACATTGTATAGTTCGTCCACACGCTTCACTCTCCTTCATTTTTCTGGTCTCATCCTCGTCCAGCCCCTTTTTTAAAGGTTTTTCGAAGCCTTTTTCCACTTTGGAAACACTGATTTACGCAGATTCTTCACCTTCATCGCACTATTTTCGATCTTGTCTCCCATTTTGCATCATAATGTGGATTAGCCAAAATTATCGTGAACTGTACTCTTAAATATTCACCGTCGGGTGCGGCCACTACTACACACCGTTTGGGTACAATAACCCGTGCCTTAATTTCTGTAGCCATGATCGAGCGGCATAAGTGTGTCGGTCTCAAATGATCTTCAGATCTGTGTACTGCAGCAATCCTACAGTGTTAAGATATTACTGTAGATTTGAGTAGCCGCTCTGACGATTAGCACCGTGGGGAAATAAGTAATGTAGTCCCACATGGTTGGCGAGTTATGGACAGAACTTCGGTCTCGGACGGGACTCGAACTTGACTTGTGCTATACAGGCACCGCGCAATTATTTCTTACACTACCGAGACCCCGTTTGCCCTCCCCTCTTTAATGGCTTAATGAAGCCCATATTAGCGTTTGCCTTTATGACTGAGGTCTGATGGTGTACGGTGACCACTCACGTGATTTTTTAACGTTTATTTGATAAATTACACAACGAATGACTGGAAGTTCGTCATTACAAACACGTGAGAAAGAAGAAATGAAGATCGCAATGAATTCAACAATTGCGGCACCTTAAAGTGACCATTCACTAGGTGACTATAAAAAATCTATCTTCTTTTGCCTAATTACAATCTCCCATCCAAGCATCAGCTGCAAAATTTGCCTCACTGGAAACCGAGATCGTCAGTGATGCTGTGATGGGAATCACCGCAGTGGATCTCAGTGACCTGCAGCTTTTCGTCGACGAAGAACTCTCTCGTAAGCTTCTTCATCCCTTTGCGCAGCGCCGACGACTACCTGATCCCTTTTCGGACAGGGACAGTAAAGCGCATCTGATCCGATTGCACCCGTCTCTCCTGGCAAGCCCACGGCACCGTCCTCTCCTGGTTGTCCTGGCATACCTGCTCGACCAGGCTCACCGGGAGCTCCAGGCTGACCCATAGCTCCTGAAAGAGAAGATTTAGGTAAAAAGTGGAATGAATGGCTGAAAAGCGGTTGTGCTCCGGCTTACCATTTATTCCATTGAGTCCTTGTACTCCGAAATCGCCTCGAACTCCGGGAATACCAGGTGGGCCGGGTCTGCCCTGTCCACGGTAGCCGACATTTCCATGCCTGCCAGGAACGCCAGGAACTCCTGGTGTTCCTGGTAGCCCCTGATCTCCACGAGGACCACGTGGTCCTGGTGAACCGTTTCTACCTGAATTCACCGTTGCCATTACAGTAATGACAGAAAGGATTAGCGTAATAGAAAAGTTCAAGAAAATGAGCAATATAGCTAATGAAATGGTAAATGAGAGCAATTCGATCGAGTAATCAAGATGAAAAGTCATGGTCGAGAAATGGAGAAGAAAATGTCCAGTTACCTTTCATGCCTCTGTAGCCAAAGACACCATGAACACCTCCCATGCCCATAGGTCCATCTGGCCCTGGTGGTCCTCTAGGTCCTTGTGGGCAGGGGAAACACTCGTTTCGATTTTCGCGCATGACACTGACTTGCAATCCATCAGCACCTCTTATTCCTGGATTTCCAGGAGGCCCATGATCTGCAAGTGAATCGGTTTGCTTGATTGTATGATTCACTCCGCAGGTTTCTTTACTCTGCACCAGTGCTGAAGATAAGTGAAGAGGCCAAGGTGAAGAGAACACAAACATTCGGAAAGCTATTAATC